AGCTATTCAGTAGGCAAAGATCAGGAGGACTGTGGGTTTGAAGCCAGCATGTCTTGAAGAAAAACATCGCAACAAAGGGTTGGTGGAATGACTCAAGGTGTAGGCGCTGAGTTTAAACCCCCATACAGCAAAAAAAAAAAAAGATCAAAGACTTGAATAGACATTTCTCCAGGTGTCAACAGGCATGTGAAAATGTGCTCATCATCACAAATCATTAGGGAAATGGAACTCAAAACCACCATGAAATACCACCTCACACCCGTTAGGATTACCACTATCGCAAAGAAAAAAAAAGAAACATAACAAGTGTTGGCAAGGATATACAAACTAGAGCCCTCATGCATGCTGGTGGGAATATACAATGGTGCAACTGCTATGGAAAACAATACTGTGAGTCTTCAAAAAATTAAAAATAGAATTACCACATTATCCAGTTATTTCTTCTGAGTTTATATCAAAGAGAATTGAAAACAGAGTCCCAAAGAAGTACTTGTACACCCATGTTTACAGCATTATTCATAAAAGCAAAAGGTACAAACAACCAAGGTATTCAATGACAGAAGGATACACAAAATGTGGTGTATAGTTACAGTGAAATATTATTCATCCTTAACACGAAAGAAAATTCTGACATATGCTGTGACATGGATGAATCTAAGGACTTTATGCTAAATGAAATAAACCAGTCTCAAAAAGACAAAAACTGTATGAGTCCACTTATATGAGATATAGTAGTCAAATTTATGAAGACAGAAACTAGACCGGTGATGCCAGGGGTGAGGGAAGGGGAAGAACAGGGAATTGCTCAATGGGTGCAGAGTTTCAGTTTGGGAATGAACTCAAAGACTGAACTGTATACTTAGAAGTGGTTAAGATGATAAAGTTTATGTTTATATACACATATGTTTTCCATGCCAAATTTGTTTCAAGGCTGCCATTATGCTTTACAAGTGGAATCTTCTCAAGGTTCTAGCCTTGAGGAAAACTGTTTCCTAAAAAAGATAGGATGCTTTCAATGAGGGCAGAAATACTCTATAAGCCAAAATGTGTTAGAAGACTAAGAACGTGTTTATTCCATAATATGAAAGTCAGAAATATCCATAAATTAAAACTTTTATCTATTATCATTTAATAGCTTTTAAAAAATTATTTCAATTTTAACAAGACTTCAAATCAGAAAAAGTTCGAGTTTCAAGGGCCACCAATCATCTGTAGGTGGCAGTAAAAACACAGTATTTATGTCAAAGCAGCTTAGAGTAAGTCAGTATGTAAAACTAGGTAAATACATACGGAACCTAAAACTATTTTGTATCTAATTAACTACATAAGAATAACCTGCAATTAAGTTCTCTGATACAAATTCTTTTTATCTTCCCCACTTTTACCTTAAGGTCCATGAAGCCAATCCTAATGTACCTATTTCTCTTTTGTCTCATGCTTTTGATAGGTCTTTGTGATCACATCTACCTGAAAACATCAGCCATTTAGTTTTTGAGACATGGCATAACTTTGAGAAAACATAAGCACTAATTGAATCACTAAGCCTATTTACTGAGGGCCTACTGTGTGAAGCACTATGTTGGGTACATTGAAACATACGAGGATATGTTGGATCCCTGTTAAAAAGACACACATAAGATGAGAAGAATATAAGAGATGAGAGTAGAATCAGGGACCAGTAACCCTATAACTGCAAGAGAGAGAAATCACAGATGACTCAAGCTCCTCCTTCTAAAATCTGTGATTATTGATCCAAAATAAAGTATGATATTAATGTTAGAAAAATAAACCCTAGACCAGGGGGCAGGGGCAGTGCTTTTCCACACAAAGAAACATTCTAGCAGTCTGCCCCTGTCTCTGAGGTGGCACTACCTATCATTTTCCTTCCATTTTTTGTTAGGGCAGGAAAAGTTTAGGTATGCGGCAGGGAGATATCAGATGGGACAGAGATAGAGGGAACTGCAGTACACAGTTGAGACAAGCTATAAGGTACAAGGCAGTTCACAGATTGAGATTTCAGGTGGCAAAACAGTTACTCACAGAAACAGCTTAAAGTGACAGAGATGCCAAGTCTGAAGCCCAGGCTTTCTTTAAAAACCTTTTGAGTATGAAATATATTACACATACAGAAAAGTGTGGTAGCCTGAAAAACTCCATTTGCTTCTTTTCCCTCTCTACCCAGCTCTCTGTCCTTGGCTTCCAGCTGAGTACTGCTTAATGGGAGCCTGGAGAGGAGTTAGGCATGAGTTGCCTAAGGTCTGGATCTTACTCTTCTGGCTCCTTCCTGAGGGGCTCACTGCCTCTCACTCTTCCACAGGTGGTGCTCTCCAGGGCACTGCAAAGTTCCTAAGCATAGACTCCTAAACATGTATTTTGATTTGGTCTTTTTCTTCAAATTCATACAAATGCAATCACTCACTATGAATTCCTACCTTCCTGTCTAGTTTTTTAAACTTAATAATATGTTAATGAGATCATCCTTATCATTGTTATCTGCCTTGGATGTCATTCATTTTGACTATAAGTAGTATTCTACTGTATGTACACCCATCTAACTTACCCATTTTATAACTATTGAACATTTGGCTTGTTCCTAATTTGGAGTTAGTGTAAGTAGTGTCGACTGATGCATACGAACATGTATTTTTACTGGCTATGTATCTAGGAGACAGCATATGTGTAACTTCATTTTAGTACTTAATATCAAACTTTTTTCTATATTCAAACTCATGCCAGCAACATACAAGAGTTTCTGATCACTTGATATCCTCATCAGCATCCACATTTTCAGTTTTTTCATTGTAAAGCATTTTGGTGGGTGGGTAATTTCTGCAGGTTTAGTTTTCATGATTACAAATTACTAATGATTTGGATTCCTAGTTTTTGAGTGCTTTTTAAACTGCTATGACTTCTCCTATGTGCCTCTCCTTAGTGATAGAATCTTTAATACTTTTATGGCTTATTTAGATTTATTTTAGCTAGAATTATCTATCATATATATTTTTTAGACCTGGGTTCAAGTTATTTGCACTAAGGTAAGTGATTATTTATATGTCTGTAAAAATTTTAAACTGCACCAAAACTGCTAAAAAAAAGAAATTTGGAAATGCATAATTAATTTAGGAAGTTAAACAGAAAGAAGTTCATACAAATATGGCTCTAAGAACAGAGCTATATATTGCTGAGATTTAAAAAAAAAAAAACCACATTTAGATCAATAGTTTCTTAGTCTTTACTCAGAAATTCCTGCTATTCAACAAAGGCCCCCCCCACTCCAGCCCAGCTCCCCCTAGCAACAAACAGTTGTCAGTTTAGACACAGTTTCAGGAAGAGAGATACAAGGGACAAAGGTTCCAAATGATAATTATAGAATGCTAGGGTCACACCAAAACATTCTCTTCTAGTTCAAAACACTCTCTGTTACTCTCATTCCTTTCTGGGGACTGGCTGTCTACCAACCATTGAGGAATTGCTGATTGTCCTCATGCTGGGAAAGGTAAACAATACTGCAGTGGTCCCCTAGCAACAACACTGGTGGGAGACCTTAGGATTAAGTTGTCTTTCAAATTTGCTATGGTTAAGAGAACTATGTTAAGAATAGGAAATACGCCAAGCACCAGTGGCTCATGCCTGTAATCACTGCTAACTCAGGAGACAGAGATCAGGAGGACCACAGTTCGAAGCCAGCCAGGGCAAACAGTTCCCAAGACCCTATCTCAAAAATATCCAACACAAAAAGAGGGTTGGCAGAGTTGCTAAAGGTAGACCGCCTGCCCTAAATTTAAACACAGTACCGCAAAAAAAAAAAAAAAGAAAAGAAATATGTGATGCAGACAAATCTCTAATATAAAGGCATGTTTTATAATGCAGATTTGTTGTACAAATCTACTAACACCTTCAGTAATTATAAAATTAGCTTAAATCAATCACATTATATTCACTCAAAATTGAACTCTTGTCTAAACATAGATCTGCCATATGATCCAGCAATCCCACTGCTAGGGATATACACAAAGGAATGCAACTCAGGTTACTCCAGAGGCACCTGCACATCCATGTTTATTGCAGCGCTATTCACAATAGCCAAGTTATGGAAACAGCCAAGATGCCCCAGTACTGACAAATGGATTAAGGAAATGTGGTATTTATACACATTGAGTTTTACTCAGCCATGAAGAAGAATGAAATCTTATCATTTGCAAGTAAATGGACAGAACTAGAGAACATCATCCTGAGCATAGTTAGCTGGGCTCAGAAGACCAAAAATCACATGTTCTCCCTCATATGTGGACTTTAGATCTAGGGCAAATGCAGCAATGTGGTTGGACTTGGGTCACACGCTAAGAGGAGAGCACATATGGGAGGAATAGGGATAGGTAGGAAATCCAAAACTTGAAAGTGTTTGATGTGCCCACTGCAGAGGAGCTAATACAGTAACCTTAAAATGACAGAGGTCAATATGGGAAGGTGACTGGGAAGTAGTAAAGAGGTCAGGCAGAGATGAATCAATTCAGGTTGTAATACACGTGTGCATGGAAGCAATGCTAGGAATCTCTCTGTATAGATATCCTTATCTCAACTAGCAAAAACACTTTGTCTTTCTTATTATTGCTTATGTCTTCTTTCCAACAAAAATTGGAGAAAAGGGCAGAACAGGTTCTGCCTGGAAGCAAGGGGGTGGGAGGGAGAGGAGGGGGGCAGTGGGCAGGGGGAAGAAATGGCCCAAACAATGTATGCGCATGTGAATATATGAATTAAAAAAAAGGGGCGGGGGGGGGGAAGTGGAGGAAGAAAAAAAATTGAGCTCTTGTGCTAAAATCAAAATTCACTTACAGTCCTTAACATTTAAACCAGAGCTCAAAACTGAGGCTAAAGAAGATTATTTCATAAAGTGAAAGGAATCCTGCAGTCTCTGGGAATATGTGAAACTCCTATTTGGCAAGAAGTAAAATTTCTCGTTCACTTACATTCCAAAATAAGTGAGGAAACTGAAGCAATATGAAATGAATAGTCCCTGAAATGTGACAAGTTCCTCTGCGTAAATAAAAAACTCATTAGGTTCAAATATTAAAGAAGCAAACTAAGACATTATGAAAGTTTAATCCTTGATTCAATATTTATTTGTCAAATGGTTTGGGGGAGTTTCTTTTTTTCACTGTACAGCCTTGCCAACATAAAATCATAATGAAAAGCCAGGAGCACAGAGTGGAGTTCAATGCTGCACGTTTGTCCCTGCCACAAACCAGGTCTCTGCCTATGTCTCTGGTATCTCACAGGTTGATCATGATGTCCCTCTGGGCTCAGGAATGTGTTCATACTCCCCAGGATCTACATGCACTTACTTGTACAGTCAAACATTCAAGCAACATTAAATGCCCTTCCATACATGAAAATACAATTCACGCCAACTCTCATGGAACTTGATGTCACGGAGCATAAAGGCAAGTAAATAACACAACCACAATACAAACTTGCTGCCACAGGGCAACATTACTAGCACTAAGGAACCAACCTTATGGGGCTGAATAGCAGCGCAGCTTTAGAGGGCAAAGAAAACTTCCTGGAAAAGGCAGCTTCAAGGATAAATGGTAGCTGGTAAAACCAAGAAGTAGAACGGCTACAGGTGGGTGGAACAGCACACAAAAGGCAGGACAGAAAGTCCCACGTGGCTGCAATGGAAAGTAAGATGGAAAAAGTGACTGCAGACCCCAGCTTTATACTAATTTGCCCCTGGATGCCTCTCTAAGAAGCTGACAATTCAGAAATAAGGATGTCGTATATGGGAACAGACTCAAGTCTTAATGAGAAGGCTCCTCTAGATGCAACCTTGATTTTAACAGCATGGGAAAACTTGTCACAGGCTATATGAAATAAGGCAAAGGACAGACTGGGTCTGTGGATAAGAGGTTCTATCCGGCTGAAATATCACACTGGCATATGAAACACAACTACACAAATTTAAAAACTGATGGGTTGTAATTCATCAATGAAGAAGTTGTATTTAGTGACTAAATCAAGGTAGTCACCTCATAAGAAGTTACTGCAGTAGCTAGGGGACACAAAGGAAGATAGTAAACTCCTAAAGAAGCTAGGCTTGGCTGTCGATGAGTTCTCTGGGTTGTCTAGGACCCTCTCTGGCTCCCAATTTCCTCATCTACGTAAGAAATAGTTACTGTGGTTGTCTACAATGCTTCTAGAACCCATTATTCTGGTAGGTTGTAGAGTACTGTAGTCACAAGTATTTTATCACCAAAGAAAAAGACTTTAGCACCTTTTTAAGAGCACAGGCTCTCAAACTCATATTCAAAAAAGCAAATGTACTTAAATTCAGGTACTTTTAAAAGTTGACAAATTATGCATAACCGAATATGGAGAAATAAGCAAATGAGATGATATCTTTTTTAAAGAAAAGAGAAAGTTAAGAAAATAAATATAACCATGCAGGCAATGATTTGGTTACTCAACTTCCCTTTCTGTTGGTTTCATTTCACTTCTTAGGTTAAAACACTTCTAATATGTAAATTATTCCACTGAAGACTTCCAGAGTCCTTTTGTGAGACTGCAGGGTTATTTATGCAAAAGAAATTATATCTAGACTTCCATATAATACAATGCTTTTATGAAGCACTGGGGAGTTACAAAATAAAGCAAACCAAAGTGGATAAATGTACATGGCAAAACAGAAGCAAATAATTGAGGACTCCAATTTTTACTTACATTAGGTTTAAGTAGTAAAAAGTAGATATCCTATGATTTTAGGAACTTGGTAATAAAGACACATCTTAGGAGTATCAACCAAGTGTCAGGTGCTTTGTTAAGCACTTAGGATTCTGGATTAGAGTCCTCACAGAAGGGTATTATATATTTTAATTGTATAGAAACTAAGTAGAAAGAAAAAGTAACTAGACAAAGTCACCTAGCTTAGAAAATTAAAGAGACTAGACTTTGAACCCTGTACTGCTCAACATCAAATCTCCTCTTCCTATAAATGGTGCTGGCTTAAAACATCAAAGTAAACAGTTAATTGAAGAAATTCCCCCTTTTCATGTAACTCTTAACTATATGCCACCATTTTAAGAGGAGCCTATGCTAAGCATGACTTTATAAACAAATCACTTGGGAAAGAGAAAAACCACATTCAGGGTGAAGTCGAAAGTTGAAATGCTTTATTTCAGAGAGCACTTCCTGAAAGAGTTAGAACAGCAATTAACAGCTCAAAGGTGCCAATTCCTACAACTAGCACTGTATCTGAAAAAATCTTTTAAAGAAACAAGAGAGACAAAAGAAATCAGCATTTCTGAAAAGCACCATTTCCAGACAGCGCTACTTTAGCCCAAGCAGCTCCGGAGACACCAATTTTACAGAACTGGGCAAACAGGAGAATGTTAACCTCTAAGGCAACCCTTTGATGGACAGGAGGTAAGCAGCATCCAATTAACTTCATCACAGATCATTATCAGAAACAATGCTTTACTTATGAAGCTCAAAATGACTGCTGTATTTTAATAAACATTAGTGAAACTATGTGGATGAAGGACCTTGAAATAGGGCGTGTTAATACCTTTCCACTTTATTAGTATGATTTTGTACTTATTTTCAACGTTGATTTCCATTAATAGTAAGTGTAATTCTCGTTAAGGAAAATGTTGATATGATAATCATAAATATATTTAGGGGTCTTTGTAACATGGTTTCATTTACATTGTTTCATGAAATTACTTGTTTTTAAAAAAAGATAATCATGGTATCTTAAACTTTTTCAAAACTTAAAGGCCAATCCAAAAATTTCTGTTTGCAAAACACAACCTGTACTACACTGCCTTTAAGACACATGTATCATTCATATTTTTTTCAAACTGAAGCAAATGAATACAAGTGTTGGTGACCAATGGACTACATAAAGGGAACTTGAGCCCAATAGGGGGAAAAATTTACTCAAGAGAGTTTATAAGTATAGGGATTGCACAGACAAAATTAGAGGGTAAGGATGAATGGAGACTAAAATAAATCATTTACAACTGCTATTACTTAAAAATTCATTGAGAATTAAATATAAGATTATGCAGTGGAGATCTAAACTTTCTATGTAATAATTTTCTCCTGTGATAGAAATTAATATTCTCTGACGTAAATTAATATTACGTCAATATTCAGAAATGTTAATATAGGTTTTCAAATATTACAAAATCATAATTAACACAGATACATGACAAACTAGTTAAGTCAGTCAGGAAATCAGGAAGTGGGGGAGGGAAGGAAACAAACTCTCCTCGTTTGTCCATATCAACTGCTCAAATTAATTCTTACCAATGATGCCACGAAGCACAGGCTGCTGTTAATCTTTTTTTTTTTGAAGTCAGTGCTTTACTTTATTTATTTATTTTTTTCTTTTATTATTCATATGTGCATACAAGGCTTGGGTCATTGCTGTTAATCTTCCCTGTAATTTTCACCGAAGAGAGTCAGGGCTGAATTAGACAAGGCACTCTACAAAAATGACATTTGAAGGAAACTTCTCATACGCCTCAAAATTGCAAAGAGATGCCTCAAGGTTCTATCTGTTTGTGGTGTGTCTATTTTTTAAGTCTACTGGTGTAGCATCCTGGGTGAGGGAATGTCACAATGAGGGGTAATGATATTTACAAACACAACTAAACTTTCCTTTTTTAAATAGATGCATTTTTTTGGCGATAGGAATTTATTGGTTTCGATGCATACATCTAGTGATTTCTTTTTCCTATCGACTTTTCTTAGACGGTCCTTTAAAAAATTTAATTTGGCAAACAGCATTTATGCTTCTATACCTAGGGAGAGCAGGGGTATGATAGTGACTATACTGGCAGTGACTTGCTTTCCAAGTGTTGCTTTCTATGTACCATTGAGGCAGCTGATCACAGCTTCTAGGATACTGGTAAACATAATTCGCCAGCCTCAGTCTCAGGCACTGCCAACTGTGCTGAAAATAACCCATCTATTGTTCTAAGAGTCCATGATCTGTAGACCATGACACAACAGTGCTGTTTCTAGACCTATGATAATTTAAAGAGAACTATGAAGAAGTGTTTGCTACTTAAAGAAAAGAAAGGTTTAACTGGGCAACAATGCAAGTCATCATTGACAAACCAGAGAACAGCTGCTGTGGGTGACCTCACCAAACAGTCTTTCATCTTCAGTTGGCATTTATTTATTGAGTACTTACTATATATTCAAGAGGCAGCAGGAACACAGCAATGACAAAAGAAGCTTCTGTTCTCATATGAGAATTTTTGTGATTGTTCAATAATTAACCAATTGCATGGATCTTCTGTTATATTTTTGTTTTGTTTTGGGTTTTTCTTGTTGTTGCTTTTTTGGCAGTATTGGGGTTTGAACTCAGGGCTTCATGCTTATGAGGGAAGTGCTCTACTATGTGACCATGTCTCCAACCTTTTTTTGCTCTGGTCTTGCTTTCTGCCTGGGCTGACCTGGACAATGCTCCTCCTATTTTATGCATACTCCACAACCACCACTAGGATGACAGGCACAGACCATCAATCTCAGTTTTTTTCTGTTGAGATGGGTCTTGCAAACTTTTTTTTTTTTTTCTGGCCGGGACTGGCCTAGAACAGAGACCCTCCAGATTTCAGCCTCCCTTAGCTTGGGTTGACAGGTATGTGCCACCATACCCAGCTACTAGTTGAGATGGGGACACATAAACATTTTGCCCAGGCTGACCTTAAATCACGATCTTCCTGATTTCAGCCTCCCAACTAGCTAGGATTACAGACATGGGCTACTGGTACCTGGCAGTTCTGTAAGTTTTCTAATATGTATTTCATATATTAAAGTTGTATTTAATAAGAAAAAAATTTGTTCCTTGAGATTACTAGTTTAGGTTACAAAACATTTAAATAGAATGAAGATGATAAAAATTGGCAAACTATTTCAAAGATTTAAAATCCAGATTGGCCTTTCTCCATTAGTCAAAATCAAAGGATACTTACTATAGGAACAGTTGCTATCTAATTCCATAAACTAATAAAAAATCATAAACTAATGGTATTGTTTTGAGAAGAAAGAAGGCGAGCAAGGATAATGAATGAATCTGCCAGAGTATTTTGATACCTAAGTCATTTAAACTGATTACTGTATAATAAGGGATGGGATATAGTTCAATAGCTCAGGGACAGAGCGTGTACGAGAAGCTGGGTTCAATCCCCAATATTTAAAAAAAAAAAAAAAGGATTATGTTACAACAGCAATCATCTCTAGGGAGTATACGCCTCAATAAACACTAAGACACATACATTTAGTTTTCAACATAAAATACTTTCAAAGTTAAAATTTACTGACAGCCAAGCTCAGTAGCTCAGCATGAGAATATTAAGCATCTATTTCCAACCAAAGGTTTTATTCCTATTTTTCTTAACTGTTTTTGCAGTTTGTAAGTATCATGCCTACCAAGCTATACGATGACTACTCCAAGCAATCAAGATCAAACTGTCCCTTCTAATAGCTCACATTCAGACGAATACACAATTGCAGCCCTTATCTTCTACAGCTGCATCTTCCTGATTGGATTAGTTGTTAATGTCACTGCATTATGGGTTTTCAGTTGTACCACCAAGAAAAGAACCACTGTAACTATTTATATGATGAATGTGGCACTACTGGACTTAATATTTATAATGAGTCTACCCTTTCAAATGGTTTACTATGCAAAAGGTGAATGGCCATTTGGAGAGTACTTTTGCCACATTCTTGGGGCTCTTGTAGTGTTTTATCCAAGTATTGCTCTATGGCTTCTTGCTTTAATTAGTGCTGACAGATACATGGCCATTGTACAGCCAAAATATGCCAAAGAACTTAAGAACACGTGCAAAGCTGTGACTGCCTGTGTGGGGGTCTGGATAATGACTCTGATGACCATGGTTCCTCTGCTACTGCTCTATGAAGACCCAGATAAAGCCTCCTCCCCTGCCAGCTGCCTAAAGATTTCTGACATCATCCATTTAAAAGCAGTCAATGTGCTGAACTTCACTCGACTGATATTTTTCTTTTTGATCCCTTTGTTCATCATGATTGGGTGCTATATGGTTATTATTCACAGTCTCCTCCATGGTAGGACATCTAAGCTGAAACCCAAGGTCAAGGAGAAGTCCATACGGATCATCATCACACTCCTGCTGCAGGTGCTCATTTGCTTCATGCCCTTCCACATCTGTTTTGCTTTCCTGATGCTGGACGGGGAAGAAAACAGTTACAAACCCTGGGGAGCTTTCACCACCTTCCTCATGAACCTCAGCACCTGTCTGGATGTGATTCTCTACTACATTGTTTCCAAACAATTTCAGGCTCGCGTCATTAGCGTCATGCTGTACCGCAATTACCTGAGGAGTGTTCGCAGAAAAAGTTTCCGATCTGGGAGTGTACGGTCACTAAGCAACATAAACAGTGAACTGTTATGAACAGGAGGAAGCTGTTTTTCTCTGATCTCTTTAAAATTCATTTTCCAACTACTCTAGGGTAAGTGGATAGTCTATATGATAGTATCAAGTCCCTTCTATGGTAAAAACAAAAAAAAAAGAAACCTTTTTAAATCTTTTGTGGAATCTTATCATTGCAGCAACATGATTAAATATTCTGAGTATTTTAAACTCATTTTTATTTTAAAACGTATAGAAAACATTTTCATGAATTATTAGAAGAAAAACACAAATTGTGTTCAACAGTCAGGCCTTATCTACACAGATAATTGACATTTTGAATTTAATTCCATGTATAACTGACTTATATGAGAAAAAGATCCAGTTACTATTCAAATACTTTGATTATGCTACTTTCTACCTCCCATATGTCTAATTTATAATCAGGAGGTTTAAACTCAGTATTTTATGTTCTAAACACCAAACTTTCAGGATTTTAACATAAACAACTACATTCAACTCATCTCTGTTACTTTCTGCAGACCAAAACTAATGATGGCAAGCAGCAGAGGAGCCTAGAAAGGCCATTCCCATTGGCCCTCTCTAAATTCATTTTCTTATAAAAACAGACTACTGTCATTCAACAAACACTTCTTTAGAACCAACTATGCACCAAACCCCACATAAGACTAATGATGAAAACTTCACCTTTGATCCTGTTTCTACCTAGTAGTCCAATTCATTCTTATGACATGAAATGCTTATTTACTCTGGGTGAAATATCTCTAATATTCTATTCTTATGTGATTAAAAAACATATTACAAAAGATTGCTTCTTCCAGGATATATGTCACAATATAAATAGCACTGGTCAGGGAACTTAGATTCTCATTGTAGTCTGGACATTAAGTTTCTCTACAAAATAACTTCTCTATCTTAAAGAAAAGAAGCTGAACTGTAATCTATAAAACTATTATTCTAAATACTATGAACATAAAATAAATGACTCAACTATAACTTCCTCTCTACTAAATCACGTTTATTCCACTTGATATGATCACCTCTTAACAGGACTAAAACCCAGATATATGCTTTGGTTATAAATGGATTCCTAGAATTTACATGGGAAAGTTCAAGTTCTTTTTTAAAAAAAAAAAAGAAAAATGCAAGGGATTTTAATCATAAAAAAAACACATGTTAGCAGTAGATGATCCATTGATCTGGTCCAAATCTTCTGTTTGAAATATAAAGAAACTGAGGTCCACTGAGTATAGTGGTACACAACTGTAATCCTAGTCCTTGGGAGGCAGAGACAGAAGGATCACAAGTTTAAGAACAGCTGGAGCTACACAGAAAGACCCTATCTCAAAAAACCAAGGCTGGGGATGTGGTAGAGCAGTTGCCTAGCCTGTGCAAAGCAAACCAACTACAGTTCTCCTTTTAGGTACAACACCAGTTTTTCAATAATAAAAAGTAAAAATGCAGACAAAATGCAAACAATGTCATAACTACATAAGATAGGTGTCAAGGTGGTACTGAGATGCAGTTTCTTAATCAGAAAAATAATTTAAAAACTTAGTTTGAAATACCAAGTTAGATCATTTAATAAATGCCTTTAAATGAATAATTATTTCTAGAAAAATAAAATAACTCCCACATTTAATGTGTGGTTTATGGTACAAATATACATAGTTGACTGGGATATAGCTCAGTGGTACAGCAATTGTCTAGCTAGAGTGAGGGCCTAAATTCAATCCCTAGCACTGAGAACAAAAACATACATAGTCATAGCCTACTTTCAACTACATAAATGAATTTACTCAAGTAATTTATTAAGCGGCAAGTTCTCTGCAAAAGATTTTCTTGGTAAGAAGAGTGTAGTCTGGGAGTACAAAGCACAACAAAAGATTTTGCTGACATAACAAAGTGAAAATGTGTATCATGATTCTCACAATTATAGATAATCTAAAATAGTTCATGAAAAAATAACTTATTTAGCATTATGATCAGGTATGGTTTTACATGATATATAAAAATTAAAATTCCACTAGTCTGGAGGGGTTTGATTCTGGAAAACAATGAAATATCCACATGCAAATATTAACAATCAAAAATTAATAGGAATGAAAGGACAAATGTATGACAGCATGTGTGTCATACATGTGGTTAATATGTATAGCTTTCAATAATGGAGCCTGTTTACTTTGAAAACAATGTTTACATTTTCTATTGAAATAAGTCATTAGCATCCATCATATGTCAGGGATAATTTCTAGGCAAAGCACTAGAAAAGAGATGACTTTACCTGAGAGTCTGACTGGGGCTCATGCAATCAAGGTTATCCTTCAATGTACTGAGTATAAGGAAGTTAGTACATAATGTAAAGCTTAGTTCTCTTTCAAAGATCAAGTAGGTAGCATTGAAGGCACAGGTGAAAACAATAAATATATTAATGATATAAAAAACGCAGTCATAAGTACTAAATAAATAGCTATACATTCATAGTAACACACATAAAAGGGCAACTAACCTTGCCAAAGGGCAAGTAGAGGCCAAATGCAGCCAAGTAGGCATCAGAATATAAGTACTGTACATACCACATTAAGAAAGCTGAATGACTGATGGGAAAAAGACTTGGCAGATGGAATTTTAGGCAGATTACAAGAGCCTTAAGAAACAGAAGAAAAGCAAATATGGAGGGTGCTACTGCAATGATGTTACTGTAAGTGAACTTACTTCTCTCCATTGCCCTTTAGTACTCACCACCTCCAGCTGACGTGGATAGTCATCTATAAACAGACTTAGAAGTAGAATTTGCTAAGCTATTTGCTCAAGATTTACATAGCTAGAGCTGGCACCGCTGGAATTTCAAATCTGTGATGGCAAAGTTCATGTCATTCCCACATTCCAGATGCCATTCTCACTATTCCAGCCTGCCTTGATGTCATTTTGGAGGGTCTGACCTTAATTGTGAAGGAAACGGGGGTTTAAAGGTTTCAGAGATGAGGACTGACATGGTCAAGACTATTTTAGAAAGAAAATTCCTAAGAGCATTGCAAGGAATGTTGAAATTGATACTGATTAATATCAAGTACTAAAGGATTACTGTAAAAATTTAGGCAAGAAAAGATCAGTTAGTCACTAGTAAATAAGACTCTAGAAAGATCAAGAGCATAGTATGGGCTAGGAAACAACAGATGTGAACTGTCACTAAAGTCATGACAGTGGGCAAAATAGCCCAAAGAAACCATGGGAAGTGAGCTGTAGAAGAGAACTGCAACAATTTACACACATGTGAATAAATGAGTAATAAAAAATTTTAAAAAGAGAGAACTGTAGACAGTAAGGTCAGAGAGGACCAGGAAAGAATGTGCTGGGATTCAAGAAAGCAAGAGCCTTCATGAAAATAAGAGGTTAAAAACATTTGATGTACTTCTGAAAGTCAAAAAGATGATGGTGGCCTTAGAATTAGGTGGTTACTGCATCCCTTTACAAGAGAAGTTTCGGTAGGATTGAGGTTAAAAAAAAAAAAAAGAGTAGAAAGTGAAAAACTGTAGAACATACAGACGAATTTGGCCTTGATGGGAAAGAAGATGTTATGTGAAACGCAAAGAAAATCGTAAAGCACACTGATTTAAAAATTAGTCCTTCACACTCTTTCTAGAGTTTTTGAAACTTTGCTATTGATAGGTTTATTTACAAAATTCAAGGTTTATTTGTTAAAATAATGATTAATGTTCCAAGAAATCTGTTTAAGAAAGCTTTAAGATTCTAAAAAGTCTACTGCAATGTTCTGTGACTTGAAAGAGAAATACATCCTCATTCAGAAGATGCATGAATTAACATTTATGCTGTTTTTCAAAGGGGATATTATCACTTTTAAATTTATTTAAAATTGCAACTTTTGCTGCAAACTGAGATTTAAATACTTCTCTCTCAATAAGTAAAAAATTATCAACTTCAAAACTGAATCAGACCTCTTTTCATGTACCAGTTAATAGAACTCCCTGACAAAATAAATATGAAGATTGTTATTCAACTCTACATACAGTGAAAAAAAAAAAGTACCATCAGATAAAAGGACAATATAAATTAAGAATTATGTTACTATCCATCCCCAAAATTAATCCTAACACAGACACACATGGCACAAATACACCCTTCCAAACACAGTTGGTTTTACAGAGTACTGGCCTGAATGAGAAGTGCTTCAGGAAAAAATGGATGATTTAGTAATGCTGCTTCTTTCCTGAATTAACACAGAATCCTTCCTGCTGACTCTATTATGCTCACTGGAGCATTGTCAACCTATACTTCTAAATCTAATTACACTTACAACCTGTGGGACTCAACAAAAACTGAGTAACTATGGTACAAAACTTCACTCAAATATTATCAAATATTATTATTCAAAACAATACATTATTAAAACAGCTAAAGGTCAATCAGTATTAGTGGATATTCATGCCAACTATAACTCAGTAAATCCAATGAAGGGCAGCTACAATGTAACTATTAATAATGTGAATGTGAAAGCTATTAAAACACTAAGTATATATTTAAAACAGGTATCTAAAGTAAATTCAAATCAAGATATCTAACACTTCTAATAGTTCTCAAAAACATATTTAAAATTAAAACAAGGGTAAGGTTAGCACACACAGAATTTTAAATATAAATTTCATACTATCTCATCTTCCAAATACAGTAACATATACTTATTCAGAGATGTTTTACGGTCGTTTAAATAAATGTGCTAACAACTCTGCTCCTAGCTACCAGTTATTTCATCCACATTAATACATAATTTTTGTTTCTTTAAAAAAAAAAAAAAATCAACACAATGTGGAAGTATATACACACTGAGCTAGATTGGTCTTTGCAGGGTAAGTATAAAGTTGTAACCTGCATCCTGACTGTTTTACCTTTGGTAGAAATATATGAACGTTATCAATTTTAAAAAATTCTTTAGAAACTTAACTTCAAACAAATTTATTTTGTTTCCTAATCCAATTAAATTTGTATTTTTGTGTTTAATAAATTAATAAAATTATAAAGACAAAATGTCACCATAAAAACGCACAAAATAATTTCCATCTTGAAGATGGAAATTCATTAAATCAGGTGTGGTGGCACATGCCTGTAAAACCAGCAGTTCAAAGATTAAAGCAGGAAGATCACTAGTTCTAGGCCAGACTGGGCTATATGGAGACACTGTCTCAAAAACAGAAACAAAAAATTCTAAAATACAGAATTTCGGAGGGAGGGGAGACAGTTAAGCCAGGCATGGTGATACATTCCTATAATCCTAGATACTCAGCAGGAATAGGCAGGAGGATTGAGTGTTTAAGGTTAGCCAGGGAAAAATTAGCAAGATCCTATCTCAAAAAGCAAAATAAAAACAAAAGAGCTTGAGCGGGGGAGAGTAGTTCAAGTGGTAAAGCACAAGCTGGAGTTCTGGGTTCAATCCCCAGTACAGTGACAACACAAAAGAGTTAATAACATTGATTGTCTCAAGAACATAATGAATATGTAAACTTCCTATATATAAAAGTTTAAAATATTCTTTCACTGACTTTCATGAACAATAATGCTTTCAGTTAGAAGGAAGAGTTCAAAATTAAGCCACTCTTTAAGAGCTACTTACAATCCTGAAGGCAAATTACTGGCCGCAGTGATACCAAATGAGTACTGCATGGCTTCAACGAGGACAAGGTCAAACAAGGCTGACAAAACCCAGGACCCCAACAAGAAGGACTAAAAAATAAAACAGGAAAATCATAAGAAGGGAGTCACCCCAAAATAAACTAGCATTTATTTAGTTAAAACCAGCTCAGGTATGTATATGTATATATGTATACATGTATTATTTGTTTTTAGTAGGACAGATATTTTTTAATTGGGTAGCAAACCCATATTGTTCAAATGTATTAGCTTCCATAATTTCTAAATATGTTGAAGAAATATTATACCAAAATACGTATTTTACAAGTAACACACAAACTATTAAGTCAGATAAGTGACTGGAATTTATTAGCCAAAGTCCTAGTTAAAATTTTTATTAACTACTCACTCCTAATACTTACACTACTGGTTTAAACTTTAAATTGTTCTTTGCTTAACGTTCATACTCCCAATCAGATACAGGATAATGAAATTTAAGACATAATTATAAATAACAACGAAAGTTTAACAAAATAAAGTCTACTTTAAAAATAAGGGTGTGGCTAGTGGAGTGTCTCAGGTGGTAGAACACCTGCCTAGCAAGTGTGAGGCCATGAGTTCAAACCCAGTACCACCAAAAAAAAAAAAAAAAAAACAAAAAAACCATGACATAAAAACCAAGCCTGGCAGTGTAGCTTAGTGGTAGAGGACTCACCTAGCATGTACAAGATCCTGGGTTTAACTTAGCATCATAACAACAACAACAACAAAACCTCATTATATATTAAAATAAGGGTGTGGTGGTACACATCCATAAGGCCAGCTACTGGGGAAGCTGAGGCTGGCAAATTACAAATTCAAGGCCAGTCTGGGCAATTTATCAAGACCCTATCTCAAAAAAAAAATAATAGTAATTAATTTTAAAAAGGACTGGGGATGTAGCTCAGTGGTAGAGCATCTGCATGCTAGCATGCACAAGGCCCTGTATTAAATGGTCAGAATAAACAAACAAACACACAAACAAACAAAATAGAAAACTGTTTTTCTAGAACCTAATTAGCAAAGGCAAAACACATAGAAACTTACTGCAAATTTTCTGCTTCCATATCTTCTTTCAAATATCCTAAAATTATAAATAAGTAGACTACTGCAGAAAGTATCTTTCAGATCAAGGCAAATTATCCTTCCACATATCAACCTCCAAATCTAGACAGGGATTTAAAAACAGAACAATGAATAAGAGTAAATTTGTTCAAGTCTTTGCCTTAGCAAATTTATGATTTACTTTCATACTGCTTCTTTATATACTGTAAGCAAAATTGTGAGGTATACACAAAAGGAAAACTAAACATATGACTTTAAGAAATGCGCTCAGTTCTCTCATACCAAAGATTCCTTCCAAGCACAGCACAAAAGGTACTTAAAGTTTCTTTGCTTATTATAATAAGAAAATGTACTCTCATTAAGGCAACAGAAAACATCCTGTAAGAAATTTTAGGGCTGTGTTTAGTAAGATACAAAGTTATATACATGAACTGAAATGAAAGGTCAAAAAGTGTTCACTTTTATGCTACTAAATTGAAAAGCACAGCTGTAGATGAAAAATAATTTAGGCATAAACTCAAAAATATACATTTCTGAGCTTACTTTTAATGACCAAACTACTTTAGAGCAACTACATGCAAGACTACTTATGGGAACTGGTCTTAAATATTACTAAGTTTGAAAATATTATCAGGGTTTTTTTTTTTTTTTTTTGGATGTGACTGGGGTTTGAACTCAAGGCTTTGTGCTTTGCAAAGCAGGTACTCTACTGCTTCAGCCACACCTCCAGCCCTATTATCAGTTTGTTCTTGTTTTTTTTTTTTTTTTTTTAGTCAACTTCTGGATATGTAAAAGACATATAAAGAAATATACAAAGAAAATGTGGTATATTATTCAGCCATAAAGAAGAACATAATTATGTCATTTGCAGGAAAATAGATGGGACTAGAGATCATCATGTTAAGTGAAATAAGCCAGACTCAGAAGACAAGTGTCACATGCTTTTTCTTATATGAGGACTCTGGATTTAAAAAAAAAAAAAAACACACACATGAAAGTAGAAGAGGCACTATTTGGGAAGAGGAAGGGGACCAACAGGAGAGGGAAGGGGGACAAAAACAGGTAAAGGGGATGAATATGATCAAAGTACATTATATACATGTATGAAAATGTCATGATGAAACCCATTTAAAATCTAAAAAAGAAAAGAAATACACAAAGAAAAAGCTAATCAAAGGCTTATTTTGAATCTTAAACACTTTCCAGATTTTTAAAGATTATCGCAATGATATTTGCAAAACATTCTGATCTTATTTCCCCTTCACAATTACCTTCTGAGGTAAGTAAAACAAATTACTCTGTCCTTACTTAGAGTTTTTATTATGGTAAAGTAGAAGATACAATCTATCATTTTAACTATTTTTAACAACATGATGCAGTAGTATTAAGAACATTCACAGCACTGGAGGTGTGGCTCAAGCAGTAGAGCACCACTTTGCAAGCTTGAAGGCCTGAGTTCAAACCCCAGTAACACCAATAAAACAAAACAAAAAGAACATTACCCACTAGTCTGTGCTGAGACCACAGCTGGGTTTGAGGGAAAAAGACATTGTGATCAGGCAGGAGGGGACCATCACAGACATACACATGTCACAGAGAAGGCACTTCCAAAATACATCTTTTTTCTCCTTTAGCAATTCCGTGACAGACTGACACTGAGCCCTTAGGCCAGCATAAACTACCAACAATATGATCAAATGAGACAGAGCACACAAGAGGGCTTAGGACCCTGTCAAGTACTTTGCAAATAATGCTGTCATCTCTGTAGAACTGCAAATTCAAAAGCTATGACAGCTCCAACTATCTTCTCTACCCACACTACAAACCATAATGAAAGTACCCTGACAGCCTCCAGGAAAACCTGGGGATTAAAGAAAGTAAGACATTACAATTACTAAAAGAAAACAAGTTGTGTTTCTAGAACCCCACTGGTTTTGTTCTGTTTTATTTTCCAGTGGTTAATGACAAATAAAACTGACAGCTACAGTTTTAAATAATTTGTGTTTTGTAATCATACTTGAGGACATGAAAGCTTGAGATCTGGTGTAGGAATAAACTATAGTGTGCTATTATGGAGATGACAGCCCCCTCAAGACTGATCAAGACCTAAAGAAAACTGAAGACAGCATCTCTGCCTCAACTTCCAAACTCTGGGGGATTCAGAACCTTCAAAATAAAGCTCTTTATTGACTTTCCCTCCAGATTCATCCAACCCAAGCCTGCAGCAACCTCTAGCCATGCTTCCTACACTGTACTCTGGAGAGTCTCAAGTGTATAAGCTTCCTGAAGCCAAATGTACCCCTCTCTCTTTACTGCTAATTCAGTCACCGATTCTTCCAGACCAAACTAAAAACTGACATCCCCAAGCTCTCCAAAACTACTCCACCCTGTATTGGTCCCAACTTCATTCATCATCATCCAAGGATCACTAATATACACTTGTGCCTTACAATATTACATTCTTTTGTGTGTGTGTGTTTAGAATTCCCAAGGCAGAACTGAAACCCCTCACATCTCTGTAGCAGTTCTGATGAATGCACAGACACTTTTAAAATACAAATGCCCATGGAGTAGTGTTAATCAAATTAACCCCAGAAATCAAAGGGTCCTTACATTCCCTTACAGCAGAGGGTCTCAAGGCTCAATGCTGGCAAGCAAACCCAGGGCCTGGCACATGCTAAGGCAAGGACTCTACCACAGAGCTACATTCCCAGCCCCTGGGGGTAATTTTTTAAAGAACCCCAGTACCCAAGCCCCACCACCAGCCTCATTGACTCAGCTAGTCTAGGGTGAGATTTTAGGTTTATTCACACATAACTGCGTATGCAGGTATATCTTAAATAACATATATATGTATTTTTTAAAAGTTTTTCCAGGTGATTCTATTGTGTAACCAGAGTTGAGTGCCACTGCATCACAGTAACTGACAAAACACTGAAGCTATACTTTATTCTAACAGAAAGCAGTAAAATGGATAAATAACTGAAAGATCTTCAGAGGGATTAGGTGAAGCCAATCTGAGCAATGACACTAATTATATCTCTAAGAAGGTATCAATATTCAAGAAGTAAGAAATGGGTTCTTCTTCCTTTTTTGTGGTGGTATTGAAATTTGAACTCGGGGCCTTATGCTTGCTAGGCAGGCACTCTACAACTTGAGCCATATTCCATAGTCCAAAGAGATGGGTTCTTAGTTTTAGAATGGCTAATCAAAAAACTAGCAAAGAAAGGATGGCAATCATAGAACATAATTTGTACTAACATTCCAACTCTCAGACAAAACCCAAATGCCAGCATTTTCAATGAATTCAGTTTATAAATCTGGAAATCCATAGAGTTATGCTCTTCACAGTAGCAAAAACTCCAGAAAAATGTCCTACTTGGCTTATTATTCAAACTGAGAAAAGTATTTTGAAATGTCAAATATGCAGAATAATCCTAAAATAATATTGCTTGAAATTTTCCTTGAAATTATACATTGCATTTCCATATGTAAAAAATGAAACTGAAAGAGATGTGTTCAATAAAAAGAAATATTGCAATTTCTTCATTAGAATCTGCTTTCTACTGAATATATAAATAAATAAAGTAGAAAGTGTGTTATGGAGTAGTAATAATAAATATTTCTTGTAAATTTGGTTGTCTGAGGGACTAATAAACTGCAGGAAGAAAAGGTAAATCTAAAAAACATCCACAGTCTTCCCAGAGGCCATCTGAGCAGTGCTCACCTGGAATTCATTCTTGATGGCGTGGAGGTCATATACGAAGAACTTCTGACAGTGAGGCAGTAGGAGGGCCAGAAGAAGGGACAGGGTACTGGGGACCAGCAAAAGACTCTTTGACAGAGGTGCCTTGTCTAAGAGAAAGAAACCACATTCAGAATGATTGCTTCTAAGATTTTTTAATAAACAAATGGTGAAAAGCAGAAAGTCAACTTTTTAAAGACAAAGTCCAGAAATCGACATTTAGTTCTTATTAAAATATCTGTAGAAGTTAGTGATAAAAAGACCCTGGAAAACAAGTGGAATTTTCTGGAGGGTCTTCACTGTCAGTTGGCTCTTAGAGGAGACCAAACCAAATAAACAGCCACAGAAGCAGAAGACCTCTCAGAAAATGGTTACTAAAGTGTGAAGAAATAGATGGTGTCTTTCAGAAGACATTGAGCATGTATGAGATTCATACACATAAACATATTTAGAATTAAAAAGAGATTTAAGTGTTAACACTGCTGGCTGTAATGGCCTCTTGAGGTTTTCTGCCATGAATACAAGAGAAGCCCCACTCTGGTTTTCTATGAGAGCCCATGTGACCTCTGCCTTTATCCTAAAAGCAGTCATTGAGTTTGTGATCACTTGTTATAGCAGCAATAGGAGACTAATATAGTCATTGTGATGGAAAGAACTGAGACATCATAGAAGAAGTGATGCTGGCAAAAATCTACACATTAAGGACTCACAGAGATAATTCGTGAGAAAATATTGGAAACTCAGCTAAACCCAGGAATGTGTATGACAACTCACAAGGTATAAAAAAAAAAAAAAAAAAAGAGTATCCATATCATAAGTTACACAGTAACAGAAAGTAAATACTGTTAATATTACTCTTGTACTCTTGATGTGTTTTTTACAGAGAAATAAAAGGTCTCAAGGTGGTTTTTTTTAATAAATGGCAATGCACTAAATATTATTTTTTCATTTTCTTATGCCTTTATAACTGCACTATAAGAGATTTCTTAAAGCTTGAAAACATTATTTTAACAAAAAATTTTACATATCATAGAACAATCAAATGTTTTTCACTTATTATTAAAATAGCTTTGCCTGGTTTCAGCCTATACAGATATCATTATGGTTCCATATTACCTTGCAAAGCAAGACTGTGTGTATTACATGGATCTTCTTCTTTCCTAAAACAACATTTCAACTTGTCACTTTTCCATTACCTCCGAGGCAGGATCTGCCCCACAATCTGGACCCACCTGCCTCCCCAGCTTGACCTCCCACTGCTCTGTTCCATGGATCCTTTATTGAGACCAAACTGCTTGGCTCAGTACCTCCTGAGCACAGTGTTTTTTATTTCGGTGCTTTTGGAAAAACGTTTTCAGACAACATCCCAAATACCATCCACATCTTTCCAGCACAGATACTCCCTTATCTAAATCTTATGCAGCCTTCCAATTAGAGCTGGATTTCCACTTTCCTCTACCAGCATGAGTGAACCATGTTGGCCACAAAGCCCCACTTTGTGCCCTGGTTCCACACTCTGTTTTAACAGTCAGGGCTCCACTCATCGGTGACAGGAAAGACTCCTGAAGGGAGACCATACACCTTAGGCTCCACTGCAGCTGCCATGAGTGGAGCCTAGCTCCTTACAGAGGCGAGACCACAGAGATCACTGAGCAGACACTCTCAGGTTCTGTATCTTATTTGTAAGAAATTCCCTGGGGGTGGATTTCCCAGCTATAGTTGCTACTGTGGTTACTGTGCTTGTGTGAGTATACAAAAATAGCCCAGCTATTTCCTCCCTGGTAAGTTCTGCAAACATCTGAACTGGAACACCACAAAAAGTGTTTGCACCCTCTTCATCAAGGCTCTCCAGATCTAACCTAACAGAGTTCTCTATTGCCTAATGTGGTCAGAGTACAGTAGGGCATCATGGCTGTGAGTGTAACCATCTAAATTCTATCTTGAGCAATGGAAGCCTGTTTCCTCACAATCATATGGATGTACTTAATACTACTGAGCTGAACACTTAAAAACAGCTAAGACTGTCAATTTTGTTATATATACTTTATCAAGTTACAAATTAAAACTAAAAATACTGAGTTGTAATTGATCCTATTTATACAATCATTTTAATTCTGCCCAGAACTAAACAAACCCCCAAAATACAAAACTGGTAACTTAAGTACTATTAGCACTCCTCTCAAGAATAGCAAAAAATCAGATCCTTTAAAACCCATGTGGAAAGTAGTAACATATGGATGTCCAAGAAGTCTCACAGCACAGGATAAATAGAATTACTATGGACAGCAGGATTTACTAATTACTCAAGATTCATTTAAGGCTGGGAGTGATGGTGCACACCTATATCCCCCTCAAAGACTCGTGTGTTGAAGGTTTGGTCCCCAATGAAAGCAATGTTCAAAGGTGACTGGATCACAAACCCTCTAACTTCATCAATGGGTTGATCCATTGATTCAAACTGAATGTACTATTACTGGGAAATAGTGAAAACTGTAGGAGGTATAACCTAGTTGGAGGAAGCAGGTCACTAGGTCATGCTCTTGAAAGGATATCTTGTTCCTGGTCTCTCTCTCTTTACTCTCTCCCTTCTTCCTCCCCCACTTCCTTGTTGACATGAGATAAGCAACATCCTCTGCCTCATACTCTTGACAACTTAATATTCTGCCTCACCACAGTCTTAAAAGCAATGGAGCAAGCCAACCATGGACTAAAATCTCTGAAACCGTAAGCAAGGTAAACCTTTAACGTCTTTTGTCTTGGATATTTTGTCACACACATACATTCACATAAAACACTCACACACTGATCCAAGAAAATCTACTGTGATAGTCAACTTTGTCAACTTGACTGGATTGAGAAACTCCTAGAGTAGTAACGCACACCTCTGGGGTTATCTAAGATGGCATTTCCAGAGTCATTTTGCTCATGGGGTGCTTACCAGATGAATGGATTATCCCTTGATAAACTCATAGTATGATGGCATTACTGGGTGGTGAAACATAGGAGGTAGAAGTCTGAAGAAATAGGTCACCAAGGGCATATCCTTGGGCAAGACTATATCTTGCCCTAGCCCCTTTCTATACCCCCTTTGCTCTGCTTCCTGGCCACCAGGATATGAAATGCTTTGCTCCACCATGCCCTCCCCACCATAAGAGACTGACACTTCTGACACCATGGGCCAAAATAAACTTTTCCTTAACTTGTTTCTGTTAGGTACTTTGTCACAGTGATGAGAAAAGTAACTAATACACTACAACTAGGAATTTAGCCCAAAGTAATTACCATACATGCACACAAAGATTTTATTATAAACATGCTCATCACAGCTTTATGGTAGTGAAAAGACTCAAGATAACATAAATATTCAACAAGAAAGTGGATAAATTATGTTCTATCTATAAAATAATTTTCAATACTAAGAAACAGGTTGTAGAAAAATATTTCATGCCAAGGAAAGATGTTCCTAAAAATATTTCTGGTGGTTATTGTGTAATACTATTTAAAATAGTATATAAAATACACTTTTTTAAAAGCATCTATCAGAATATTAGTAACAGTAATCTCTGACATATTCATGGGAGATTTTAATTTTTACACAAATCTGTTTTAACAGTTAGAAAAATAATTTTATCCAGAAAAAAGGTTCATTAAATCCTTATGCTTTGAGATGGGGCAAGTCACTAGCAATTTTTCTTCCTGTGTGTGAACAGAGTCAGGAAGTGGTTCATATACAAAGAACCTAGGCAGCGATCAAATAGAAGGTCACTTCTCTGCAAGAGGTCCTTCCCTCTTTGAAAGCAGGTATGCTATGAATTTTGAGAATGGACAATGTATTGATATAAAAGTAAGAATGTAAAACATCTATGGCAAAGATAATATAAAACACTAAAGATTAAGAGTTCCTTTTGGGTCATTCATCTCTTATTACTCTTTGGTATGACCAATGTACACAGTCATTTCTTTGTAGTAAAAAATACCAATCAGGCTCAGGTAACTGTGTAATTATCCTAAAATAATTGATATATTATACATGGATGACTTCATGCCAGACTCTGTGCAGATAAAAGGATTTTCTGTATAATGCCATCTCAATGAATCCTGATGTGACCCTTAGGCAGAAATTAATTATCCACATACTCTTAAGTGAAGAAAGACTAAGAAAGATTAACAAATTGCCCAAGGTTGTGACCTAGTTAGTAGAGGCGCTGGTATTTGAACCCAGTTCTGCCTAAATATAAAGAAATAAATTTTTTCTAATATGTAACAGTACGCAATTATACATAATAGTATGCTTACTAGTCTAATACTTAAATGCATTAAGTACAATATTAAATTATTAAGAATTTAAATAAAACTCAAATATAAAATTGTGAAAAAAAGCTGGGTATGGTAATGCGCCGGTAAGACAAGAGGATAGAGAATTCAAGGCCTGGACCGCATAGCAAGCTCTAGGCTAGCCTTGGCTACACGACAAGACCCTACCTCAAAAAAATAAAGTAAAATAAAATTACCAATGGACCCATCAATTCCACTCCTAGGTATATATATCCATGAGCTGAGAATAGATATTAAACAAAAAAACTACACATAAATATTTATAGCATCATTATTATCATGGGCAAAAAAAACCCCAGTGCCTACTAACAAATGAATGGATAAACAAAATGTGGTATATCCACAAAATGGAATATTATTGAGTCATAAAGGGATATAAAGCCATACATTACAATAGGGACAGAACTTAAAAATATTATGCTAAGTAAATGACATAAAAATCACATGCAGCATGGTTCCATTTATATGAAATGTTCAATATTTAAAAGTCCACAGATACAGAAAGCAGATTAGTGATTGTCAGAGGCAGAGTGGATGAGGAAATGGAGAATGATTGCTTAATGAATACTGAGGTTTTTTGTGAGGCGATAAAATGTTCTGGGATTATAGTTTGGTGTTAATTGCACAATATAAATAGACGTCAATTAAGTGTACACTTTAAAATGGCTAAAACAGTGAATTTTATGTTTTATGAATTTCACCTGAAGAAAAATGTGCACATCTCTTAGGTACTGAAGGCTCTAACCACAGGGTTTGCAAAGCTCAGCCATGTGGG